CCACCAGGCTGCCTCAGTCCTTCCGCCAAAGGTTTGAATTCTTTCTCGCCGCGGGAGAATGGGCCTCGGCCGCCCCATGCTGGGAATTTGGGCCGAAAGGTTCCACCCCAAAGCCTGGGACTGGGATCCCGAGCGCAAATGGCGGCGAGCTTTAAATATACTCCCGAGGCGGCAGCCGCAGCAGCTGCACTGAGCGACGCAGGTCGAAAGTGTCCTCCGTGGCTGCCCGGAGGGAGACAGCGGCTGGGAGGCCCGAAAGCCCAGCTCCACAAAACTAGTGCTGGAGACCCTCCCCAGGCCGTGGCAACTGAATCCTGGCTAGTGTGGACGTGGGTGTGAGAATAAGGGTGCCCAGTCCCCGCTTCAAAACCCGACGGACCTAGCTGGCTGGGGAGGGGGGACGAGGAGGAGCGGTTTAGGGACACTGGGCTGGCGGAAAATTTCGAAACACGCTTTGTCCTGGTACTGACGGTGCGCTGTGCCGCCACGCGTAGGGCTGGAGCCCGCAGAGGAGGTTGGCGCCCTGGGCCAGGGGCGCTCGGGCGCCTACTAAATAAAGCCAGCCTCATCCTGCTGGGCAAGAAAGATGGCCGAGGGAAAGGGGCGGGGGAAGGGGAGGCCAAGTCTTTGAATAAAAGTGAAAAAAAAGAACAATCTGACCCTTGGGCCGTCTTACCCTGGAGTTGGTGTCTCCGACAGGGCTACTGAAATCGAGAGTGTGAGAGAAGTGACCTTGAAAATGGCAGGTACAGTTAGTCGTTCAGGCTGGCGTCCAGGGCATCTACCAGTATGTGCACTCCTGTGCTGAATTTCTACCCGACCCTGGGGCCGTTTTGTTTTGGGTGTGTTTTTCTTGTTTCTATCTGCCTAGGGAGACCGAGATTCGAGGGGTCTTCAGTCCGTTCGCAGTCCTAAGCCAGAGAAACCAATTTAAACAAAACCTAGAGGTCTGGAGGGGCTGCTGCCCGGGGCAAAATCGGGACGAAGCCCACCCCAACCCCAACCCCAGTCCACTGCCATCCCTAGACACACCTTTCTATGTGGCCTTGGGCTTGTTAGGGTTCTGTATTAGTGAAGATAAGGCAGAAAGACCTAAAAAGGACACCGCCATTACCCAGCCCTTGTGGCGCTTTTCCTTTTGTGGGTCACCATCGTCCAGGGGCCCCGCGGTCCCGGTTCCGGGCAGGAATCCTGTAGCGTGGCCACCTCCTCCACTCCTGAGTTACCGAGTCAATGCTGCCTTCTGCTGAAGAGCTTTTCTCCAGTCTGTGCCCAGGCTTGACAGAAAACCTTGGTCACCCACTGTGATGGGGTTCCAACTTGGGGATCCCCTAGGCCCGGTGACCGGCCAGGCCTGGCTTCCTGTAGCCCGGCTCTACAGAAGGCCCGAGGGTGATCTTGGCTTTAGGCTCTTTCCTCCTCCCAAGCCCTTGCCCCACAAACATAAGCGATGGCTCTCCAATTTAAACTCCCATTTTAGCCTTTAAATGTTTAAAAAGTGCTATAAGACGTCATGGCAACAGAGCTTTCTCCGTTCCGTGAAGTTCTTCTATGGCGGGTTCTCCACTCCCGCTGTCACTCAAAGAGTGCAGAGGATCCTGGGGCCGAGACAGCGAGCTCATAACCCTGGACTGGTCTCTTGCTCACAACTCCTCACTTACTCCTTGGGGTGGGGGCAGGGAGGGGGTTGGGGAACGAATGGCAAAGAGAAAACTGCTAGCTGAGTCCCTGATTATGAATGACCCCAAGGGTTGATTCTTTTGAACATGCGACCTCAGAGAGGTCTCCGGGCGACCTGTGGCCTCCCAAGAGAAAAATTCCTGCGGACCCGAGCGTCTGCCACGCGCAGCTATGTAACTTCTACCATTTCCGCCGTTGAGAAAATAAATGACCCTCCCCAAACGTGATTTGTCTTGAGGCCTGACTGCGTGAAGGCCCTGTCAGGAGTCAATGGAGGGAGGAGGAAGGTCTGGCAAGAGAAGGGAAACAGTTTGGCCCCGCTCTTCTTTCTGGATGGCCCACACCCGAGTTCTGGTGGACAGGCCCCGCATCCAAACACAGGGAAAGACTTGAGCAGATGAAATAAATCTCCTCTTAATTTTCTTTTCATCGACTAATAAACATAATTCCCCAACACTAAACCCAAATACCATAACGGGCCAGAAGAACACGGAAAATACATAAAACCCTATCTCCGCAGGTCGCCCGCTAATCGCGTTATTATTAGACTCTGGAGCATGGAAATTGAACTGTCACTGCCTAAGGAGAAAATGTAAGCGACAGCTGTCCCTCCTCGGACCGGCGCGCTTTCTGGCCGGCCGGGATCTGGGGCGCTGTCCCTAAAGGTCTCTGGCCTGAAGTTGCCCGGTCACCGCCGAGAGGCCCTCTGGCTCCTCCCAGGGATTGCCTGGGAGGTGGTCGTAGGCCAGCCCTGGCTAGTAGGCAAGTGTGATTTTAGAAGTGTGATTTTAGAAGCCTTAGGCTGGGACATTTCTGGAGCCACCAAAACAAGTTGAGAGTGTAGTGAACGCGGGCACGCACCAGAGCCTTCGGACAACAGCTGTTCCCCGAGCTGTTTTGCACAGTTGAATCTTGGCACTAAACTCAAAACGTTCAACTGCCCGCCCCCCCCTCTGCGCGCCCGCTGCCCGTTCTATTAAGATACAGACATCGACATCTGTCCTGTGTTCTATGTGTGCCCAGACTGTGCAGGGCCACAAATTAATCACACACCCAGCTACTCGGATATATGGAGGTGGCGGTTCCTGAAGAATGACTGGGGCACGGAGTAAGGGTCTGATCCCCATTCCTATTTCTACACATTCCAATCTAATCCCAATATGTTCCCTGACGCCGGGAATGGGAGGCGGGGGGAGGCACAGCGACTTGACTCCCAAACAGTTGGTGAGCGAAGGACAAGGATCCGTCCTGGGAGCTAAATGAGGCAAAAATGGGCATTTCCTGAGAGTGGGACGTCAAGGCAGAAAACTGCTTCCTTTGGGCAGGTCCTAGCTCCCCTCCAAGGGCTTCCTTCAACCCACGCCCCTCCTAACCCCCTGGGGCCTGCAGCTCTTCTGCTGTGGGCACCAACCTGGTTGGTGGCTGGCAACGAAAATGCAAGCCACGGACCAGTCCCCTGAATTGGTTGAGGCCGTGTTAGGGAGGTTCGAGTCATGTGCGAGAAGAAGGGGGAACCCGCTTTGGAGCAGCGCGGGGCGTTCAGTCGTGCAGGCCGCTGTCCTTGCCACTCGGCCCGCCTGGCGTTCCCCCTCTGCCGGACCCCGGAGATCCAGCCCGACGCACTTACCCGGGTGAGGCTCCAGGCAGTGCGCCGCCGAGTCGTCCGCGTCTCCGAGTGGGCCCGCGGGGCTCAGCGCCTCCATGGACAGGTCCAGCCCCTTCTCCTCCCAGTCTCGCAGTTTACGCTTTTTATTGGAGCCGATCAAGGCTTCAACGGAGAAGGCATGTGCTCTCGAGCTCAGGGCGACTGCAGATCTTCTCCTTTCACTCATCTTAGCCGCCCGCGCCCTGGCCGGCCCCCCACTCGCCCCGCTACTCCTGAGCAGCCTGCGCCCTCAAGCTCCAAGCGCCTGCCGGGCTGGGCCCGGGAGAGGCGGCGGCGCGCTGCGGCCGAGGCCGAGGCGGCGGCTCCGCGGGTTCAGTGCACCCTCCTCCTGGGCCCGCCCCCGCCCTCCGCCGCGGCTCCGACAGGCGCCCCCAGCTGCCCCAGCAGCTAGGAACCAGCGCCCGGAGCGCCGCCCGCTCGCTGCATGAGCGCCGGAGTCCGGCTTCCCACCCACGGGGCAGGCGCTCACAGGCTGGGTCTCCTGGACTTCATCTTTTCTTTTTTTTTTTTTAATTCTCTCTTTCTCCTCCCTCTCCTTTTCTCTCCTCCCTCTCCCTCTGGCTCTCTCAGTCTTCCCGTCCTTCCTCTATCCAAACTTCTGGGTAACTTTTTACCCCCCCTAAGTTCCTCCCTTCCCAAGGAACAGGGGCAGGCAGTGCGCTCCTGTCCGAGGGGCACCCGCGAGGGAGGGGGGAGGAAGAGAAAGACCGAGGGGGGAAAAGCCAGCCCCCGACCAATGGCGAGGAGGGAACAGGAGAAACCCTGAAAGTTCAAGCCAATGAGAGGAAGAGAGAGACTGAGGCTTGGGCCAAAGCTCCGCTCCCCAGCGTCCCCGTGAAGCCCCACAGCCAACCTTAACCCCTGGCTTCCCGGACCCCTTTGAACTCCTCCTGGAGGGGGAGGGAAGGGGACCCACAGCCGAGGTTTGATCAGTTACAAATTCCTGTAAATTCCAAATCCAAATCTTTTGCTCCCAAATGTCCTGGATCTTTGCAAGACACTACAAGTCCAGTCCTTTGGGGGCAAATCTGGACTTGGGGGTTCGGACAATATTAACCGGCTCAAAAATGCTTGAAAACGATCCTCTGGCCTTCCCTGTCGCGCTTTTAGACCTCCTGGATTCACACGGATTCCCCACCCCCTGCCCCCGCGCAGGTTCTTAACGGTTCTTGTGCAGTGTTTTCTAAGCAAGGCTGCTTACCGTAAAACGAAACGAATCAACACCGAAAAGCCCCGATAATTTCCTGAATCTTTAAGATCCGAAGATCGCTACCACCCTCCAGCTCTACCTAAGAGCCCTGGTGCCCTCAGATTTAAAGGCCCGCACGAAGGGAACCCTCGCCTTCTCCCTTTGCGGCCGCGCGGCGGGCCGCACTCCGCCGACTCTGGCGTTTGTTGCCGAAGGGCGCTGGGCTGGCCGCCTGGACCGCGGAAAGGTCGCTTTACTTTTTCCTTCAAATTCATTTACCTCAAGAGTCCTAGGTTCTCTCCGCCCCGTCGACACTCTCCCTCAAGAGGGGAGGGGGGAATCTTAGAGGTCAGTACCTTCATCAGGAATTTTTAAAGGAGCTTAAAACTCAAAACTCCTAGACGTTCATATTTCCCACAGCCTCTCCTCAGGATCCGCTGCTGCAGGCCCTGCGCGCACATGAGTCAGATCCATCCAGAAGTCGGTCCTTCGGAGCTGGGAAAAGATCTCCGATTTCCAAGTCCAAGACCTACCTACAGCCCGAGCCTCCTGTTCCAATGCCCTGCTCTGGACTTCCAAGAGCCCATAAAGAACTGGGCCGGGGCAGGGCAATGAGCTAGGGACCCAGTAGCCCCGCAGCCAAGTCACAGGAGCAGTCAGACCTTGAGTAGTTTGTGAGTTAAGCTGCAATGGGTAAGGGGATGCCCAAGACCAGAGGCCACCGACAACAGTACCAGCCGTCCTCCCACCATAGGGTGAGAAAGACGGGGCCTGGTGGCCACTGAAGAGCAGGAGTAAGTGCTTTCCTTCCTACAATAGTGGAAAGAAAGCACGCTGGTCTGCAGGCAACTACTGAAGGCTGTGAGCGCCAAGAAAGGAGAGCAAAATGGCCATTTGGGGGCCTTCTGGGATTGTACCTCTAGTTTAAGGGTCCCTGCTGAGCCTGGCCAAGAGCCCTGGGAGGGAGCTGAGCGTGGCAGAACCCTGTCAGAGTCTCCCAAAGCTGCTTTGCCTTGTGCAAATTTGCAAATTTCAGGTGCCCCCCTCCCTCCCCGCCCCCCAGCAAGGCTCAGGGTTCACACCACAGACTCCACTGTGCTTTGCTTGCAGGATCCTGACTACCTCTTCACCTCTGCTGGGCTGCAACTTAACAAGTTAGAGACCAGGCAGGCCGGGAGCACACAGTTCCAATTCCCTAGCTGCTCAGCCCTCCTGGGCTCCTAACTAACCTATTCCAGTGGGCCGGAATGCTCTCTCTCAGGCTGATCTGGACGACTGAGCGAGCGTGGTGGGGTAGCAACCAGGCAGGCCTTTGGCCTTCCTGGATCTCCCCTTCGTTCCATCACCAGCATCTCCTCTGGCAACCGTCTAGCTGCACATTCCCCCAAAAGTTTCAGTTTGAGAAGTGGACATGCTATTATAAGCCACAGGCGCTCCTTGTGGCTAAGCAGGTTACTCCAAAAGAAGGCTTTTCCGTTACCCGGGCATGGAAATGCTGACCTAGGCGGCTGCATGGGGTGATTGTCCATAAACAAGAAATGGGATGAGTGTCCATTGGACTTCAATGAAGGACAGGCATGAGCACCCCACCCAGATCTATAGCTCCAAGTGTATGAGCTCCCGCACTGACTTTCTACCCTTTGCCCAAAGTTCCACCACCATCAACTCATATTTGTGCATATTCTGCAATTGTGCGTTCAGTCACTAAAAACCAATGGAACAGATAGTCTGGTCTCATAAATAAGGCTCTTGACTCTAGACAACACAACCCCAATCTACTAGCATTGAGAGGCAGGAAAATGTTCTTTCCATGACGCTTGTCCACTTTAATATTTCCCAGGGAATGTTCTTCTTGGGGTGCAACTGCGCTGGTGGAGAATGTTTCAGCAGCATGGTTTCCTGTGAAGAACTTGGTTAGAGAACTCGATTTCATTGGGAAAGGAAGGGAAAGCTTTGGTGAAATGTAAGAAGCTAGGATTGAAGTATTCCCTTTCCCCTCACTAATGACATTGACATCAACGGACTTTCTCTCACCCCTGCTCAGCCTCTCTCTCTCTCTCTCTCTCTCTCTCTCTCTCACTGTGGACCTCCTCGTTCATCTGTTTCTGGCCCAGACCTGGCCTGTGCTTCAGATCTGTTTGAGGCAGGATGAACAAAGAGGAGCTTGGAGACCAATAAACTGACTGTCACCGCTGGGTGAAATTTTGATCAGGCTTTTGTTGTGCTCACGGGGTGGGGGTGGTGGGTAGGGTGCCCATGAAGCAGAGAGGAGCCGTTCAGTTAATGGGAGAGTTGAGAAGTCATGGCTGGCTGGCTGGAATAAGGAAATATTTAGGTTTCTGATCCCTGATGTCATTATTATTTCTCAACTCCTCTTGAGCTCTCGAGCTAAATATCTA